TATATATATATATATATACATATATACATATATATCTATGGATGTATGCATAGAGATATATACATATATCTATGGATGTATGCATGCATATATATACATATATATATATGTATGTATGCAAGCATATATATACATATACATATATATATACATATATGCATACGTATACATATACATATATGCATACATATACATATACATATATGCATACGTATACATATACATATATGCATACGTATACATATACATATATGCATACATATACATATACATATATGCATACGTATACATATACATATATGCATACGTATACATATACATATATGCATACATATACATATACATATATGCATACGTATACATATACATATATGCATACGTATACATATACATATATGCATACATATACATATACATATATGCATACGTATACATATACATATATGCATACGTATACATATACATATATGCATACGTATACATATACATATATGCATACGTATACATATACATATATGCATACGTATACATATACATATATGCATACGTATACATATACATATATGCATACGTATACATATACATATATGCATACGTATACTATATATATATATATATATATGCATATGTAGATACATATATATATTTAATATGTATGTATACATATACATATATATATGTATCTATACATATACATATATACATATATATATGTATCTATACATATACATATATACATATATACATGTATATATCTATAAATATACATATATATATGTATGCATACATATACATATGTATATGTATGGATATGTATGCATACATATGTATATGTATATGTATGCATACATATCCAAACATATACATATGTATATGTATGCATACATATATGTATATGTATGCATATGTATGCATATGTATATGTATGCATATGTATAGATATGTATATGTATGCATATGTATGCATATGTATATGTATGCATATGTATAGATATGTATATGTATGCATATGTATGCATATGTATATGTATGCATACATATCCATATCCATATATATATGTATGCATACATATCCATATATATATGCATACACTGCTGTGCCTATTGTGCTTGTGCGAAGCACACTCATAGCCTCAGGGCTATCCTACGCTGCCACCCTCGCCGCTGGAAATCCCGCCAAACCCTCCAATGCTACAGTGATTCACAAACGCAACTCTCATTTCCATCTTGCAGATAGTCCAATGTTCCCACAAATATACCATGATTCTGTTGCAGGACATGGAAATTGCAATCTCATCAAAAAATAGAGAAGAATACGGGCAAACCAACATTATTCTTCTCTTACGCTGAAATTTCAACTCGTGCAGGAAAGTACAATTTTTTAATAGTTGGAAAGTTTCAATTAGGTCGCCCTAAGATGAAGATTATCAGTAAGGTTTTTGAAGATTTCAAACTAGTTGGGGCTTGGTAAATGATTTTATTTCGACGGAAGACATGTTATGATACAACTGAGCATATAATAAGATTACAAAAATTTTCTCAAAGAAATTCATCAAAATCGAGGACAATCATATTAAATTGCTCAAATAAACCCCTGATTTTGATCCCAGTCAGGGAACCCCCAATTGCGCTTATCTTATTCTCATTACTTGAACTCAAGCTTCAATTCTTTAACTTATCTACCTTATATGCAATTGTGACTATCCTTGGAAAACTTTTGCAGGTAGACACACTTACAGTTCATTTCTCAAGGCCCTCTGTTGCAATGATTTTGATTGAAAGAGATATTACACTATCGGATGTAGAAAAAGTCTAGTTTGGCTCTGCTCACAATGGTTATTGACAAAAAATCATTATGGAACCAAAATCTTACTACTGCAAGCACTGCAAGATGTTTTGAGAAATGTTGCAGATTGCACCCACAGTTGAGAACCAATAGTCAAAAGAAGGAACATGTTGTTAAAAGCAGGAACATGTTGTTAATGCACCACACGTACATGAACGTGTTCTCAGCAAACCAGATGACTGCCAACCGGAGGGGGGAATAACTAAGGAAATGGAGTCTGCCCCTGAGAACCCTTCTCCTGACCAAAGGGATAATGTTCGGACCGAAAGTCAGAATAGCCTCGCAACTTCTATTCAGAAAGCATCAGGTGCAGAGGTGATAACTCACACTCACATACATTGGAACCTATCGTTGTGACATCGACTGCCTTTCCTTCTACTGCGGTTCTAATATTTAATCAGACCAAGGATCACATGAGCCGGCCTTCAGGTGAAGAATGACAGGTTTACACTTCCCGACGAAAGAAGAAGGTTGGGGGCACACTTCAACTTGGAAATTTAATAGATGATACTTTGGTTACACTTGACAATGACACAACACTTCAAAATTTATTATCTGGCTCCGCTAAAAAAACTAGAGGAAGAGGCAAGATTAAACTGGCTCGTCTCTAACTAGTTGTTTTCTGCATGTTTTAAATTTTTTGAGTCTACCTGTATCTTTTGTTGGGTTAGTATTGTACTCGGTATCGTATGGGTAGGGTGCCTCTACTGAGCCCTCTGATACAACTTTTATGTATCTTTTCTATTTCAATAAAATATATATATATATATATATATATATATTTGTATCTCTCTCTCTCTCTCTCTCTCTCTATATATATATATATATATATATACATGTATGCATGTATGTATATATATATATATATATATGGAAATAAAAACTTAAAGAATGAGAAATAAGACAAGTCTTCAATGCTTTATTGATACTTGAAAACTTGCAGACTAATAGTAGTTGCATCCACTGATTCCATAGACTAGAAATTTGGAATTTTTTTAGCACAACACAAACACTTATTGGAAGACTATATGGACTTACACATTTTCAACAGACTTGAGAAATATAAATAGTATAAGATTCAACATAATGGATTGGGAAAGTGGGTTTACATGTGATTCTTTTTTAGATTGATTGATGCTAATAATAGGTCCATTTGTTGAAATTTTGAATTGGATTGTGCTGGAAAGTAGAGCTTAATTGATACGATAATATCATTAATTTTCTAGTACGTCTTTGTTGGTCATAGATGTCCTATCATTCTAATTCATTTTTACTTCTTCTAAAAATAATTTAACAAGTTACTTTTTCGTTCATTTTTTAATTTCTTCAGTTGATTCGTTAGAATTTTTTCTTCCAAGTTGATTTTGCAGTGATTTTAATGAAATTTCGTCTTTAGAAGGATTTTTTGGAAGATTGGATTTATTCATATGGATTATTTTACTAATAGACGTAACATTGTCTTCTATTCTAATAACTATCCACCACCTAACTACAAAATTTTTAAATGAATATTTTTTATTTAAAGAGTCATGTTGAATTTCTATATTCGAGGATCAGATCCATGAAATTTGACATCAAGTGAAAAACATAATTCATCTTGACCATCAGTTAATGTTTTAGTTAAGATTTTTGAAATATAAGAAGAAGTTTCTACCCATTACCCATTTGAAATAATTTGATTTTATTGGTGAGGAAGAATTTGTGTACTAATGCCACAATTATCTCACCAATGATAGAATGTTCTCTACAAGGATTGAGTATCGAAAAAGCTTTATGTGCTGCCTCAATATAAATCCAATAATTAAATAAAAGTGTTCCATGATACTTAAATTCATAACTTCTATGTTCTATGGTTTTAATTTGATAGGGAGTAGGACCCCATTCTTTATAATTAAGGATTTGATGAATAGTGGCTTTACTATATGCAATGAATTTATTTTCATTATTATCACTATGTTGAATTTCTACACATTTTAAAGAGAGTAAGAAAGCTTCATATATACTTTTATCATAATAATATTCTTGAGAAAAGTGACTTTTACCTAAATACTAGTCTAAAATAGCCCATGAAAAAGTAAGATGATAATCATTGTCATTAATATCTAATATGTGAGAAAAAAAACCTTGATGCATATAATAGTTTCAAATTTAGATTTAAAACTTTCAGAGCAAGATTTATAAATAGATTGATTTTAATTTAATTAGAAAGATGACACTCCTATTGGTTGGTTTTAAGATGATCAATAGAAAATATCAAGTTAAAATAATCATTCTAAGAGATGGATTTCCATGAGTTAATTTGATCTTTTTAGGAGATGCATTTCTATGACCCCCCTTCCTCCCTCCCTTCAGGGGAAGAGCCACCGTGAGTATATTTAGGAGGGTCATTGGACAATTTCATTTGGATGTTTCCACCCTGAGTATTCTTGTAAGAATTTTTGTGTTAATACTTCATGAAGATAATTTATTTTCTCTCTTGAAATATTCAATATCTAAATAAGAAACAAATAATTGAGCTTACCAAGAAGCAACAATCTCTTTGGAAGCTAAACTCTTAACGTCTTTAAAAATAATCAATTAATTGCACTATAATCAATTCTTAACAAAAATTTGGAATTGAGAAGATCAATTTAAAATTTAAAAATGGATTTAACTATAACAAGTATTTTAAATTTAATTGTAGAATATTTAGATTAAGTATGATTCCATCTATAAGAAAGAATTGATTAAGTTTTTAGAAGAGGGCATTAATTTTTACTTTTATATACCATCAAATCCAATGTTAGATGCATA